TGACCATTCAAATGGTTAAAAAAATAAATAAAAACAATATTCCTTCCTCATATCATATATAAAAAATCAGTTCTAGGTAGACTATATGGCTAAATTCTAAAAGGCTTTTAGAAGGTAAAATAGAAGGAAACCTTGATGACTTGAGGGTAAGGAAGTGTTTATTATGCTGTATTTCTTAAACAAGACACAAAAAGACAACCACTAAAGAGACTGAAAATTCAACCACAAAACAGTCATTAACCTTTATATTAAAAATCCCATTGAAAGAGTGAAAAGGCAAAGCAAAAAGTAGGAGAACATAGTTGCAACATAGACAGCTGGAAAAGAACCGATAAATGGATATGTGAAGGATTCCTGCAAGTCTGGAAGAAATATCAATTATAAAACTATTTTATATATTTATTGCAATTTAATTGACATTTAAGCTGCATAATTTGTAGGCTGCAAAATTTGATGAGTTTTGACATATGACTACATCTGTAAAATTATTTTGACAATCAAGATAGTAAATATTTCCATCTTCTCACTAAGTTTTGTGGTGACATCTTAATTCATTCCCTCTATTCCCCCTCCCACCCAGGTCCCCAGGCAATCTCTGGCCTGCATTCTGTCATTGTAAGTTAGCTTGCACTTCTGAGACTTTATATGAATAGAATCATACAGAATGTACTCTTTTTTGTCTGGCTTCTTTTACTCAGAATGAAAATTTGAAATTCATCCATGTTATTGGCTCTATCCACAGCTCCTTTCTTTTTATTACTGAGTATTCTTCCACTGAGTGGATTTATAAAAGTTTCTTTATCCATCCACCTGCTAACATTTGTATTTTTTCTAATAAAGCTGAAGATATTCAGACCTGATGGGCTGACTAGTTGACTCTCAGTCATATCTTAGGAAAATTTTTACATGTGCCTCAAAAGACATATATAAGAATCTCTGCAGTAGCATTGTTCATAATAATCCCAAGCTGGAAACAACTCATCAATAGTAGGCTTGAACATAGATTGTGGTATATTACAGGGCATTTCATTTCATGTAGCGATGAAAACTAAAGAATTATACACTACAGTATAGGTGAATCTTACAAATATATTAGTGGTCCAAAGAAGAAAAGACATGAATGAATCAATA